GAGTCTGCTCAGAGTTTGGAAAGGATGCCGGTCCTGAATTCTCAGGTGTGCACAGTGGGTTGGTGGCATGTGGATCCCGGGGGCCAGTACTAGTCCCACTTTCACAGTGACACTGCCATGTTCCTGTTCCCGTCCCCTCTGCAGGGCGCACACCATCCCTGCGCAGGCTCCACTGACCTCTGTCTTCTTTTCACCTGGTCCTCTGGAGCTGACCTTAGATGCTGAGCTTACATCAGACGGTTCTTATAGGAAACATGAGAGGGTCTGAGTTCTGCACCCCCAACTCATGTGTGGCCAGAGCCTCACCTTAGTGTGAGGTGTTTGGAGATGAGGTCTTTGGGGGTGAGGAGGTTCAGGTGAGGTCACGAGGATGGGCCTCTGCTGCGTCTTCACCATGTGAGGTGACCGAGAGATGGACCATGTGTGAGCCAGGAGCTGAGGCCTAGCCGAGCCTGACCACGGGGGCACCTTGGTGTCAGACCTCCAGGCCCAGACCAGGGGGAAAGGAGCCCCAGTGGCTTAAGTGCCCAACTGTGTGGCATAAGAACAAGGTGGTGGCACTGTCACAAAAATAACTGTGACACCAGTGAGGACTGTGTCCTGTGGATGTCCTGTGGATGAAAGAGAGGAGAGCAGCACGCTGCTCTGTTCAACTGATGAGGGCCATGATTGACACGTGGCCAGTCTGTGTCTGCCTAGAAGGCACAGTGAGACCTGGAGGCGGATGTGATGATCCCCTGCAGCACCCTGGTTGCCAGGGCTTGGACTGTCCACCCTCAGCCACGATCACCAGCCCCTGCTCACATGGGTGAGAGGGCAGGGGTCTGCGCCTTCTGCCTGCAGTGCTCAGCCCTGGAGGACCATGTGGCACCTGAACACTGAAATCGGACCAGGACAGACATCTGTCACACGTAGAAGACGACTGTGCTGGAGGTGACTCCATCTAGGGACAGCATGGTCACAGTGGGTCAGCCTTTCCTGCACGGGCCTCTGTGAATTCTGTTTGGGTGCCTCGTAAGCTGCAGCCAGCTCTGGGGGGCGGGGGGGGGGGGTCTCCAGGCTCCAGCGTGATGTGCTGCTAGGATTGGGAGATCCCAGTAGGGGCCAGGAGACCAGCACTGCTGCGGTTCTGAGTATGAAAAAAAGTCGAATACTATGACAGATGAGCATCTTATTTCACTATTTAAATTAAAATGTTGATTTTAAAGGAACCATAAACATCAAGAATGTGTAGCTGGGTTCAAACAATCAGCATGGCATCTGGAGCCATTCACATGTCGAGCACCAGCTCACCATTCTTGCAGGAAGCGTTTGCATCTGTGTCTGCTTTATAGTTTTCCCTACCACAGGTGCAGAGACCAGGTGTTTGCAGTTAAGTGGACCACCGTAGCCTTCCCAGGACCTCAGCTCTGGACACCTGAGGTCCTGCCCCTCTGTCCTCTGTCCTGAAGCTCCTCTCGGGAGCTCCAGCCCCACAGAACAAACATCTCTTCTGGGAATCAGGGGGACATTAGTGCATCTTCTTTGCTCTTGAACAGAATGGCAACGGAAGCCGCGTTCAAGGGAGGGTGTCTATCAGTCCTGTGCCAATTATTCTCGGAGCACATTGTACGGGCTGGCTGTTTGTTTTGTATGTGCTGGTATCATCTAGGACAGTAGAGGCATGATCAGAAGAACCAGACAGAGGGGCTGTGGGAGCCATGAAGCCCTAGAAGGAGGTTACGTCCGGCTGCTTCACATCCCTGCAGATGCAGGAGGAGGTGGCGACATACAGACTTCTTTCTAAGACAGAAAGGTGTTTGTCCCAGGACAGGAGGAATGAGTGGGGACAAGCAGTTATGTACTCGTGAGGAGCATTGCCATTTTAGTTACAATTGTTAGATATGGAAAATAAAAATCCCAAGACAGTGGGGGAAGGGAGTGAAGAGACCGGCTCAATGACAGCTCTCCTCTCTTCCACGGCGAGTCCTTCCCAAACGCTGGCCACTGCTGGGGGAAGGTGTCTCGTCAAACCCAGGACGACAGTGTGACTCCTCTCCAGGTGCTGGCCACTGACCCAGCCCCAAACCCAGATTCCTGAGTGACATGTGACATTCCAAGTGACATGCTCTCAGCGTAACCCATATAGCCCAACTCCTCCTTTGGCCAGTGGCTCATTTTCCGCCAGGACGTGGGTCCATTGGAGGTGTGATCCCATTCCTGATAAAAGGCTGAGATGATCTGAGGAGTTTGCTGAGAACAATCCCACTGCGGCACACTAGGTGTGTGCACTGGGTGCTGTGCTGCGTGCTTCACGTTCGTCCACCAGCTCTCCAACCAACCTGACCAGCAGCTGTACCCCGAGAAGCGCTTGTCGGGCGCTCCTGTCACTCCTGCCTTGCTGTTGGAGCCAGCGGCTCTTATGAGCCAAGGATAAAGGGTGTCTTCATACACCCGTGTGGAGGATTCCAGAAAAGGAAAAGCAAATAAATTAGCGGGAATGCATCCTGCTCTGTAAGAAAGAGGAAGACCGCGTGGCCCTGGCCCAGGGAGAGTCCCAGGAGACCGTCACTGGAGGCAGTGGCTTTGAAGGCCCCGTTGCTCCATGGAGGACAGGGGGAGGCTCAGCTCAGGCGGGCTGGGCACAGGGATGGCATGGGAAAGTCAGGCGCTGGTCAGCTCCTTGTGAACTTCCCCACTCCATACAGCAGAAGCCCGAGAACATGGAGTTCCCTGAGACCCAGAGAGGCAGATATGTTGGCCTTCCGATACACCCACGAAAATGACCAGCTCTGGAAAGTGCTGCTGGAAGGCTCAGAAACCAGGCTGCTGCTACCTGGGGTGCCATGTCCCCTCAGGAAGGCAGGTCCGTGCACTGCCCAGGTCCTACTCCAGGCCCAGGCCCAGCAGCTGACCTTGCTGCTCAGGAGTACCTTATGGGGCAGGGCTCCAGGGTCAGGAGCCTTGGGGGCAGGGGCACCCAAGCTCAGAGTGGAAAGAGACAGTGAGATCCCCAGGAGTGAGGGGGATGGGATGCAGCCTGGAAAAGGGCGAGGAACAGCCTCACCGCTGTGGAGACAGGAGGAGGAGGAGCATCCGGCTGCAGAGATGTGTGGGTGAGCCACCCACGAGCAGCTAGCCAGCAGGGTATCCAGGTGGGAACCAGGGGTGAAGGAGAGGGAAGACGGAATCGGAATACCAGGGACACCCAACGGTCACCCTGCCCGTCAACACTGAGGGACCTGAGTTGGCAAGTGTCTTGATGCAGGCTCTATGGGAAGGGCTGTGTGGGCTCTCTACGTGGGGCTTTGCCTGACCAAGCTCACAGAGGGGGCTGTGACAAGAGATGAGGACATTGCACAGGGTCCACTAGGTGACAAGCCCAGACCTCCCCAAGTGTGAAGGTCTGACCAGATGAGAAGGTTCCCAAAGAAAAGCACTGTCATCAGTGGACGTGCATCTGACTTAGGATCAGGTAGGTGTGCTCTGGCTCCACGCCAGGGCATTGATCTGTGGGGCTTTTCCGCACCCGGAAGGCGGCTGGGGCTGTGGGAGGCCTTCCTCTCCAGTCTTATTGACATGAACGGTTTCCCTTTTAACAGTCAAGCTGCATTTCACCGACGGTGGAGAACACAGCCTCCGCGTCTTACTCTGTCTGCAAAGACGCAGGCTCTGCACAGCCCCGGGCTGCTCAGCGTTCACAGAGCTCAGCTCTTGGGCATGTCCTCCAGGCACGAAACTCCCAAGACCTGAGAAATGGCCAAGGCACCCAGAGGCTCTCCCGGCCACAATCAGATGGCGGAGAACAGAAAACCCCAGAGCTTTTATTAACTGAGATGATGGGAGTGGACTGGTGGAGAGGGAAAAGCGTCCTTTAATCAGGGGCAGGGGCTTCCTTGACATGACTGCAAGGTGTCGGCTCTTCCCTAGTCAGTCTGAGACTCGAACGGGGCCATCGGGACCTCCTGTGATGGAGGAGGGTGCCATGTCCCCTCAGGAGGGCAGGTCGAGATAGGCCACGTGTGTACCTAGAAGCACATCCTTTCTGTGCATGTCAGCCACAGGTTCTGCTCACACCGCAGCTCAGCAGCGTCCTCGCCAGCCCTGGGAGGAGAGAGAACTTCAGCTGTGCCCCTCTTGACACATGCAGGCACCGAGGGAAGACAGGGGGCAGAAAGGCAAGCTCTAGGCAGGACCGGCTGGGGACTGGGGAGAAAGGTTCTGTGGTTGGGACCTTGGTGAAAGACAAGCCAAATGCCGAGACGTGGAGGACTGTCCCCAAGGCCAGAGCCCAGCTGCCAGCACCGAACCTGCAGCCTGGTCCCTGCCCTGGCCGGGGGCCATGCTGCACAGCAGAGAGTGACCCTGCCCCTGCCTGCCCAGGCTCTTCCACTCTCCCCACCTGCGGCAGAACACGTCCAGCTGCTTCAGCTYGTCTGCCCTGGCTTCCTCCGACTCCAAGCTCAGGCCGAGTTAAGAGGCCACTCCTCTCTGACCTGGGCGGCACTCCAGGTGCAAGGAGGGAGCAGAGGCTGCTAGAGCAGGCAAGAGCCTTGAGTAGCCCCAGCAGGGACCCAGAGAAGAAGGGGGAGAGGTGGGAGGTGGAAGTGTCACCTCCGGGTTTCGAGCAGTGTGACTCTGTAACACACTGGCTTTCATCAAGATGGGGGAACCTTTCTGTGGTCCGGTATCCTCTGGCAGGAGGGTACCGGGAGGGCTGCACCCCTCTSCTGAGCCTGGGCTCCCCAGGAGCTGACAAGCCCAGCACACCTGGGTACCAGCCCTGTGCGTCCACACTGCCCACACAGCCTTCCCCACGGCGTGCATGGCAGTGTCCCTGAGCTGCAGGGGGACACCGTGGGAAGCAAGGCCAGAAACAAGGCCTACGTCGYGCAGCCCTGTGCCTCCTGGCCCAAAGCCTCGCTTGGCCTCCACGTCAGCCCACACCTTTCCCATTGAGGAGGTGTCAAGTGGTGTCGGTTGGAAAGAAAAGCCTCGATGCAGTTTGATCACATGTCTTATTTTAATCTAGGAAAAATGATTAATTTCAAAGTTCAGCAATATAAACGAGTATCCACAACAACTAGGCTCACAGCTGTTTCCTAGACGATGCTGACGCGCGTTCGTTGAGCTGGCCTGGGACTCCCGGCCTGTTCTTTGCCTTTGCACAATAAGCACAGTCCTTGTGACGCCTCTCCACACACTCTCAGGGTCGTGACTGCTCGGGACACGTGCGGGGGACCAGGCCACGAGGGCCTCCTACAGAAGTCTGAGCTGGCTGGCCTCACACCTCTCGCTTAGGGCCAGGGCCAGGGTGGCAGTGGCCATGAGAGCCAACCCTGCTGCTCACAGTGGGCACTCAGTTGCTGACCGTCTTGTGCCACACCCTCAGATGGACTTTGCTGGCAAGGCCCCTGCCCTGAGGCTTCAGCAGTGTGCGGAGCAGGAATCGGCAGCCTTTCCTGAGGCCCAGTCCACACCCTGCCCACACCTCTGCCGTCACGCCTCCTGGGGGAGAATGTGGGCCATTTGTTYAGGGACAGCTTTGTCTTCCAGGGGACCCTGGGGGCACAGAGAAGCAGCTGGCAGGAGTGGCCTCSTCACAGCCTGGGTCTCCTCTCTGAAGGAAGGGCCCCTCAAGGGCGCCTGCCTGGACTTATCTGAGGCCAAAGCAAAACTCCAACAGAAGCCTGAAAGTGGAGGTGAAGAAGTTTGAAAGCTCTCCCCCAGCCCCTGCCATCCTTCCTGGTGACCTGGCTCATGGGTACGAGAGACCTCGGGAGAGCGAAATGAACAGACCAGCACAGAATCCCAAGAAACAGCCAGTCCGAGCACAGTCAGGGCAAGACCTAGGAACTCCATTTCAGTGACACTTCGAGGAAGCCCCAGCTGCGGGGACAAGGCTGGCGGCCTGTGGACTGAGAGAGCGCGGGCAGCCCGAGGCAGGGCTGCAGAGGGCCTGGAGGAGGCTGCCAGCAGCTACCCCGGGCAGAGCCGAGAAGCTCCGTGCTTTCCAAACTCCTGTCCGCCAGGCGCGGGTTTCCACGGTGGACAGAGGCCACATACGTTGTATGTGAGGACTCCTCTGAAGCCAGCCTTCCATACTCCAGATCCAAACCGTCCATTTAAACATCTCGTTTCTACCAAGTGGATTTACAGGTAAAGTACAAAGTGCAAATACTATGGGCTTGTTTTTAAATCGCTCTTTGGTGAGGGAGGTTCCCACATGTCTAGAAACCGCCATGGAAGGGCCAGCTGCTCATCCTTGCTTCCTCGGCTGAAAAAGAGAAGAGGGGAGTGTGAAGGGTGTGCATCTGCGAGGACCAAGACCTGCCTCCTGGGAAGGAGATGGATGGCCCCCAGGAGGGAAGGCCGGGAAGGGGAGCGCTGGCCTGTCGAACGAGAGCATCCTGGACGTACTCACCCTGGCCCCTGAGAAGGCCAGAGTACCAGGAGAAGCACACCAGTGAGCACAGCAGCACTGACTTCAGATATTCTATGTGAGCCATACCTTGGTGTTCTGCAGATTCTCCTGTTCCCTTAGATTCATCACACGAACACGGCTTTTATAATCTAATTTATGCTTCAAATTTGATAAAGCCACAGTTGATTTTTAAATTTTCCTTTTCACCTTTCCAAGAAATGCACTTGGAAAAGCATTTTAGTGCAGATCTCTTGCTCGGTCAGCACCTAACTTCCTGTTGAAGTCCCCCTCCACGGGGACTAGCCCTACAGGTGAGTTCACCCTGGCTTCTGCGGGTTACTTAGGATTATCAAACTCTGAAAACCTAGGCACCTTCTGGGTTGCCCTCGTTCCCTTGATAGAGATCTAAGGAGGCGGGGGGAAGAGAGAGCCTGGCCGCCACACCAGGCCCAGGACAGGTCTGTTCACCTAGTCATCATGGCAAGAGCCCTGGGCATGCTTCCCAGCCACTGCAGCAGAATTGCATCCTGGCTCAGCCTCAGCTTGACCACAGCTCGGACACACTCGGGAGGCGGCTGTGTGGCTCTATCAGCTCCGGGCATCTGCCTGTCATGCCTGCCTTGACAGTCTTGCCTATGGTGACGCACCCACAGGCTTTGGTCGTTGGCACCACTCTGTTTCTCAAAGAAATGCCAATGGTCTTCAATTACAGTGTCACAAGCAAGTCCCAGCCCTTACTCCCAGGATGGCATCTGCAGCGGCAGCCACCCTAGTAAAGACACCAGCCAGGCTACACCTTCAGGACGAGAGAAGCCGGGGACGCTGCTCCAGCTCCGTTCTCTGGACAAAGCTGAAGATCCAGGCTGATTTTCATTGTCTAAGGAAGACAGTCCTTGGGAGCCCCGGAGCTCCCTGGACACCTGCTTTCCCAGCAGCCGCTTTTCAAGTAGGTGATTTGCAGGGGGATTTGAAAGTTAGACCATAAACATCTGTGAAACGAATCTTACAAGTCTTCCCCCTAATGAAACAGTTTTAAATCACAACTAAGGTGCGTGTGGAGGTCCCCACTTACAACCCAGGGGCTTGCCTGAGGGTGTCCTACAGATATCAAAGGGGAAGGGACAGACTTCCAGGGAGGGACAACAGTCTGCTGGACACGCTGTCCTGGCTGTGGCCCGTGGAGCTGGAGAGAGGCACCACGTGGCATCCTTTAACCTCTATAAGATGAGATTCAGAGACAGAATATGTCTGCAAACACCAGGAGAAGCCGAAAGCCCTCAGGAGCTCAGCCTTGTGGCCTCGGGCTCTCCTCCTCCTGCCCTCTTCTGAAAATGCAAGAAATGAACTTCAAGCACCCAGAGGACAGCTTTGAGACAGCCACTCCACAGAACAAGCAGACGCAGAAACTGTCCTTAGAATAATTAAAATTTCAAACGATAAAAGGAGGGCGAAATCTGTAACTGAATGATTCAGCAAGTTGGTGGTTTTGGGTGGCACTTGGTGGGCGGGGCCGGGCCCACAGGGACAGGTCCTTCCTCTGCTGCTCCTTCTCCGGATCTCAGCATCTCAGTAAGCTCCAACAGAGACACACTCACCTGCCTTGGAGCGGAGCCCTCGGCGCTGCCTCTGGGGGCTGGGAGGGAAAAAGACATGGTTACCAAAGGACTCCTTCACTCCGGAGGCCACGGTGACCTCAGGGAGGTCATCTGCTCTATGAGGTGCTGCTGACCAGCAGGCGCCGTGTGGAAGGACAGGGGACGCCTCAGGCAGGTCAGGGGCCGGGCCCCCACAGTGCTCAGGCCCAACTAAAGAGAGTTTCATTTAGTCTGAGTTCCTGGGCCAAGTCCACTGACCCAGAGAACTTTCTTCTAGGACCTTCCCCACGTTCCCAGAGGAGACGAGGTTCTGCGAAGGAGGCCCTGAGCCATGTACTGTACAAGGCTTGGAAATCTTTGGTTTCATATTAAAATCATTAAAAATCACCATGTTTGTCTCAAAATGACTTCCCCCAAATCTTTGGGTAAAATTAAAGCTGCCGGGAGAAGCACTGTGTCCTCCCTGGCTTCACGGCCACACCCCGGGGAACACCTGGGTCTCTCCTTCCTTCTCACTCCGAGCCTCAACTTGTGTGTCTTGGTAGCTTCTCATAGGCAGTCCTCCTGCCTCCCCCTTCCTGACCCCATCTTTGCTCAGTGCTCCTCCTGGCCCACCTGACGGCCGCCCTCTCCTTCTCCCAGTTCCGGGCGGCTCTCCCATGCCCCTGGCTTCCTCCTACCTGGAAGGCAGCCCCCCTCTCCATTTTCTTTGCCCTTCCTCCTTCCTTCTCCCTGACACTGAAGATGGCTCTCTGGTGGGCTTGGGCCTCATCTCCTTCATATCTGCACCCACTCACTGGTGGGCTAGGTCAGCCTCTTGGCTTCAAATGAGACCACTCCTGAGGGTGCCCGGGGGTAGGGGGCCGGCAGYATCTCCTCAGCCGTCTCTCCCCAGTCAGATTCTCCCCCTGGCTCCCCACTTAGGTGTGCAGGGGGCGACTCCAGGGCCCAGGACTGGACTCCACCGTTCCTTCCGGGACAGGCTGGTGCTGCTCTGGAGCTTCTCCGGCTCCACGCCAGAGCGTCCTCATGCTGACCCCTGCCACTGCCCCTGGTGTCCTGTCGGCCAGGCATAGCTTGGCCCTACCCCCTCTGCTTCGCGCTGTGCCGACCTCCACCTGCTCCCAGCGATGGGACCTGTGCAGCCCCCGCCCACAGGTGGCCTGCACCACGTGGCAACCGGGATGCCTTTACAGGAGTCAGGACACATCCTTCCCACCGAACCACGGCTGGCCTCTCGCCAGAAGGCTGACGGCCTCTCGCCGGAACGCTGGCCAGCGTCTCCTACACACAGCGCAGGCGGGGTGCCTGCCACCCCCACGGGTCTCCTCTGCTCCGGGGTAGGCCGTGGAAGGGGCGGCGCTGCTTATCTTCTGACCTATTTTGGCCACGTCCTGGACAGGGGCACTTAGTAAAGAGCCTTCAGTTAGTCAACAGATAAAAGGCAATGTTTGTCCTGCCAAATTCCTCGATTCATTGTTGATTCATATCTACTCGATAAAAAAAAGAAGTGGAAAAAAAGGACTCTGTTTTCCTGCCCTATCTTCCTTGCCATGTCGGGGCAAACAGAGACACACTGTGGAAGGGTAAATGCAAATGTATTTAGCAAACTCAAAAACATTAAATAATCAGGAGTTTTCTTTGTCTCAAACGCAGGTTTTAAAAATGACCCAAGTACTAGGACACCACTGCTCCTCTTCTGCTTCACTTTGCCTGAAATGACTACTTTAGGGAAAAAATGCATGGTGCAGTGGCCACGCCGTGACCCAGTGACCGGGGAGGCTGAGACCGGAGATCCAAAGGCTAGCCTCAGCAACTTAGCAAGACTTGGTCTCAAAATAGAAAATCAAAGAGGGCTGGAGGTGTGATTCAGTGAAAGAGTGTCCCTGGGTTCTAGTCCCAGGACCACAAAAAGAGATGGGCTGATTGATAAATAGACAGATGGACAGATAGATTAGAAAGAAAAATAAGAAGATTTTTTTCCCAATGATTCAAATCCAAAGAGTACTACAGTGATTCTTTGACTCTCTTTGGGGCCAGTGTGGCTATTCAGCAACAGTCTGTTTTTGTTTGGCTTTTCTTTATGGCTAATGTCAACCCCCCTCATAATTCAAGGTTGCTATGGATTAAAGGTGAGTGGCAGGAAGAAAAGGTCAATATCCAGTAAGAATAAGAAAAAAGCTTGCTCTGCTCTGCTGATGAAGAGTATGGACTTCGTCCATGGCCTCTGGCACAACTCTCCACTTAAGATGGGGAAGGGAGAGGCACCAGGCGGAACGGGGAGAGAGGAGAATATGTTCTTAAGGATCTCAAGGAACAGAATGTGAGTTATCAACACAAATCCCCAGCACTACCACTGATGAACATGGGGTCCAGGCAGGCCACAGGGAGGGAGGGGACAGCGTGTCTCCTGCCACCGCACTGCAGCACAGGACATCTGGGGCCTACGCCTCTGGCCCTGCCTGGTGGGGACCAGCCTGGGCCAGAGGCAGCTTGGCCACTTGGTAGAAAAAGATGATTGGGTCAGAGATGAATGTCTCCTGATTGCTGAGCTTCTGTGCAAAGGCTAGATTGAGAATTGTGAAATCAAGTTGATACCTTCTGACTTTGTTTTCTGAATCCTTCATGAATCCATCTTTTTTTGCTTTATAATGATAACTTTCAGATAATCATTTCCTTTTTGTATTTTTTATAATATGATTGTTTATATCAAGCTTGCCAATGTATCTTAGAGGCACTAATTTGAATGCAAAATCAGCTGTAATTGCTTCAGATCAATGGGGTTAATTTAGAAAGTGCCTGTGTAAGAGAACCCTGGGGGGCGTAGACCTCTAGACCTGTGTATGGAACGTTTCTTGCTTGATTTCTCTCCACTCTAGTAACAAAAGCCCGTCCTGGAGATCGAGCAGCACACAGGCACCAGCAGGTTTGCATATCTGCAGCCCCAACCAGTCTACACCCATGTGCTCGGCTCTCACTGTGACGGGCTGACACTCTCCTAGCTCCACATGGGCAGGCAGAGGCCCAGTCCACGCCCAGTCCCCTCCCAGGCCGGGCAGCAGTGCCATGAGACAGCATCTGCCAGGACCTGTGGAGTGGACCTCCCCCCACCCCCCGAACAGGACGACTGCACCACTTTAAACACTTTAAACCCAAAGGAGGCACATGACCCCGAGTCAGGGACAATCTGTGGTCACTGTCCTACAGCCTGACCCACGAGGGCGGCCAGCTTATACATCAGGCTGCCCTCCATCGGTGCTGCCAACTCCTAGCACTTTCCAAAACCAAGCTCCTCCTCGGCCTTAGCAGGCCAGAGTGGAATAGTCACATCAGCCACCAAACTGTCACACAAGCTTCCCCACACTGCCCTAGGAACTCGCTTGTCCATCGGAAGCCAGTCAGTGGGCAGACACCCTCGACCAGGGGTGGATGAGGCTCTTTGATTTTSTGTATCTGCTGCTGTGGGTCTGCTCCTCTCTGTGCCCTGGGCTGCTGAACTTGGGTTTGGACCTCCATGGGGCTGGGTGTGCGCTCTCCTCTCCACACCTGGCATTTTGCAGACTGCTGGGCATTTGGCACTTTGTATTTTGATGCTCTACTCTCTTCCTACACACCCTCAGACCCGGCACCTGTCTCCTGTAATCTCCAGAGGCCAATGTCTTTGGTGAGTGACTCCAGAGCAGACGTGCAGGCTCCAGTGTCATGGCAAGACTGAACCCAACCGCAGTGGACACCTGGGCTGATGGCCTGCTGGGCAGAAGTGTCCCCCATGCACCGTCACCAGCCTGGGAGTACAACAGCCTGCTGGCCCTGGAGGCCCACCATGCAGTTAGCATGGAATGGGTGCTCTGACTGTACCAAGTGCTGAGGCTGAGACAGACTCCACAGGGAGCAGTTCTGAGGGGACAGTCTACACAGTGCCAGGGGTCACAGCTGAGGGGGCCTTACAGTGCATAGGACAGAGAGCCGCTGGCTTCCCTGTAAGAAACCAGACAGCTGGGCSCAGTGGCCAAGCTTGTACTCCCAGAGGCTCCGGAGGCTGAGGCAGGAGGCCTGCAAGTTCAGAGTCAGCCTCAGCAACTTAGCAGGACCCTGTCTCAAAATAAAAAATAAAAAAAGTCTGGAAGCAGGGCTCAGAGGTTAAACGCCCCTGGGTTCAACCCTCGGAACTAAAAAAGATAAGAAGAAATGGGAGAGTGGGCAGTGGGGGGTGTCCTGAGGGGAAGAGGCACCCTTGCAGAAGCCACCTGGAGACCCCCCCAGGGACCCCAGCTCCTGAACCCGTCCTGGCAGCAGCTCTGGTCCTTGAACGCCCGCTGACCGCGGCAAGTGTCCTGCTCCTCCAGGCACAGCCTCTGCACTGCTTCCGCCGAGGGAAGGACTCCGCAGGCTGCGACCCCACTGCAGAGCAGGGGCCAGGCACTCCATCCTCCGTGGGGTCCTCAGGGCTCTGGAGGCTGGCCCTGCTTGGGCTTTATTCCTAAAGTGACACTAGGCCTCCAGGGTCCTAAGCAGCAACCAGCGTAAAGAGAGTGAGGCAGGTCCCGGGCCCCAGGCCGAGTCAGGTGGAGCAGGACAGAAGAGCCCAGAGCCCCAGCTGGGCCTCCGCAGGACCAGCAGGAGGTGGGGGTGCAGCTCCTGTGGCAAAGCCAGGCCCAGGTGCCCAGAACTTCACCTGGGTGTCTGCAGGGCGCAGGCACACTGCTGAGGACAGGGACCAACAGCAGGCGGGACTGCAGACAAGCCCCCTGCCCTGCCCTGGTCCTGAGGCAGCAGCAGAAGACAGGACACAGTGCTGGGTCCTCATGTGATGAGCGTCCTTGCCCGTGGTGAAGCGGTGGTGATTACCCCTGCCCTGTGACCTCACCACCCAGGACAGTGGCCAGGATAACACGGCCAGGAGGGCACACAGCCTTGAGTGGACAGCATCAGTCGGAGCCGCTGCTGCTCCAGGCACAGCAGGGACATGCCCTGTCCCCCTCTGTAGCGCACACCTGCTGGCTTCCTGTCCTCCCAAGAGTCTGCTTCAAGGCCAGCTCCTGCCACCCTGACAGGGTCCTTGATGGACACAGAGGTCTCAAGTGATTATGAGGTTTGTTCCTTGACCCCTCAGGCGCGGCGGGGTGGGCCTCTCCAGAGTACYGCCCCCTGGTCAGAGCAGAGGACAGCTGAGGTGGCACCTGGCCTCTCCTAGCTGAGACCTGGTCAGGACAGCTGGCAGCACTGGGAGCTGCAGAGATGCCCAGTCCTCGCAGAGGAACCAGCAGGTGGTCTCACCGAGAGGCCAGTAGAAGCAAAGCTGGTCATGTAACCCTGAGACAGTCAAGGCAAGCACCGGGGACAACACGAGGCTGGTGTCCCCACCGCCTTCCAGGGGCTCTCCCCCAGCTCAGCTCAGATGAGCCACCTCAGAGTGCTGCTACACACCGGAGGGCACAGAGACCGAGGATGCCACTCACGAGTGCTGGGAACAGCCATGCACAGCTGCCTTCCCAAGGGTGACCCGAGGCTGACCAGACTCCGTGATGTGGCTCGGCTGCCCACCCTGCCCAGCACTGGTGCTGCCCAGACGAGGACCCAGGCCGGCCCCAGTGAGGGGCTTTCCCCCATGGCACACATGTGTGGCCGGGGCCCTGGGGCTCTGACCTGGCTTCTCCCCGTGTGTGGCCTCTGAGGACGTTAGACCCGACTCTCCTGGGACTCCCTGGCTGCCTGTGACAGCAGGCTACTTATGCCAGGCCCACCGCAGAAGGTGCTTCGACTGCTAAATCTGCTAAGCCACAGGAAGAGCAGGTCTGGACACTGGTCTTCTGGGCTCATACACTGGCCTAGACATTTGGTTGGAGCCCGTTCACAGGGTTGGTGAGCTATGTCCAATGGCACCTGAGTCCTACTTTGAACTTTAAAAGGCAAAACATATTTGGAGAGTTGGCCACTGATTTGAACAGTAAAAGCTTAGTCCCCCCACGCCTTCTAACCCTGTGGCTCTGGGGTTCTGACCACTGGCCTGCTGCCCAAGTTCGCTATTATTTCTACAGCAATGGTCTGCAATCACCATGTGCTGTTTCTCAACACCCTCACCTGAGGCAGTATGTACACCTTAGGAAGTGAGCACAGACATCACACTCRGACACACAGGGAGTGCAGACACTAGGAAGTGAACACGGACATCCCACTCTGACACACAGGGAGTGCAGACA